AGGGCAGTCAGGTGGAGAACCCAACTAGCTTCTCATCCAGGGCTGCTGTGATAAATTGGCAGTTTCTTGGCCCCCTTGCCCAGGGAACACCCCAGGCAGCTGGGTGAAGAGGGGGATTCATCTGGTGACTGAGGAGGTACACCAGGATGGGAGAAGAAGGTTGACAGAGGGAGCTCCACTGTGCTGCAGACCACTGAGCAAGGACAGCCTGTTGGCCTGGAAGGGAACCAGCCTGTTGGCCTGGAAGGAAACCAACCCAGCGAAAAGCCTAAAAAGCAGTTTATCCAAAGCTTCTGTTCAAGTCCAGATACTCTTGCTTTGGGATACTCTTCAAAGACACCCAGGTGGATGGGCAGTTTCTAGCTGGAGTCTGAAGAGGAGGGGACAAAATGCTCCTCACAGAGACTGTGTTACTGATCCATCAGGAGACTCATGCCACTCTCGAGGGAGTAGAAAGTCCAGGATCCATCCTTTCTGTACAGAATTTGGGAAGTTTGTCCTCATAGCATTGGTTTCATGTCAAGTTGAACATCCCATATACCCCTAAACCCTATCCAAGATGTTTACCCCCTAAAAAAAACAACAAAAAACAAGGACTAGTTACTGACTCTCTGAATGGACATTGGAAAATGTTTGTTGCCTTGCTATTCGGGTAAATAGGGGGACCTATTACAAATCACAGTGTCTTGAGAAACAAAGTACTGGTTTCATGTCAATAAATAAAAAATGCTGCTCCCAAACACCCTCATATGACCAAAAACCTTGGCATCTTACATCAAACAGCAAAATCCATGCTGCCCTAAGGAACCTGCTCTACGTACTCCTAAGCAGCAGGAGCTGCAGATCCCAGACCTTACAGTTCTGTCAAATACAACAAAAATCCAAAACAATCTGCATAGTTCTCTGCTCAACTATGCAGAAAGTGCAAAAGGTATACACACACAGGTAAAATACATAAATAAAAGAGGAACCTTGACGCATTTCACACAGCAGTGCTTATTCTTAAGGAACTTAGACTAGATATTATAAGAGGGTGAGTTGACTTTTTTGTAACACTCCAGACAAAGGCATGAAGATTGTATAGTAACACTGGAGAGAGTAGAAAAGGGTGGCGAGCTGATCTCTGCACAAGCAATCTAGTGTTAGAGCTGTATCTAATGTTGTCCCAGAAGAGCAATGACTAGCAGAGGAAAGCCAGAGAAGGATCTTGGACCTTCATGAGCAAAGCACAGCTTCACCTTAAAAAAATACCCCCCCCCTCCTTTTAAATACAAAAGTAAGGATATAGGCTGGTGGTAAGCTACAATATATAAGGTAGCATTGTGCCTTTTCTTCAGGCTGGTAGGGGACCATTGAGGATTACTTTGTCCCCTGTTATGGGCTTCATGCGGCCATCTTTGGGAGGATGGCCTTCCTTATTGAATGCCAAAATCCCTCAAGATTTAGAAGGCCATCTTGACACAGAAGTCCCTAAATAGGAGATTCTGCATCATTTGGTGTGCCTGTGGGAGTAGGTTAGGGACAGAGGTGTGCTGATCAGGGAGAAAGTAGGAGCAGTATTAGAGAGAGGTGTCTGACAACAAGGGAAATAGCAGGTTCTCCCTGTCTCACTTGCACGTCTTCCTGGAATAGTCTCTCACTGGCAACCACATAACATAAGGACTTTTTAGGGATCGCCTTCCTCTGGATCAACTGGGGGTATAGGATTATAACTTTTTTTTTCTATGGTTGAACTGGATGGACTTTTGTCTTTTTTCAGCCAGACTTACTATGTAACTATGCAGTGTGGCCCAGTAATACCATAGCTCCTCCAAGGAAAGTGATCCTCTGGCATTCTGTTGTCTGTAAGCGAACATTATTGGAAAGTACTTTGTTGATAAATATTACCCTCTTCTGCCTGAAGAAACATATGACCTGCAACATATGCAGTGCCATAGCTATATAAACTGCATTGTTTTTTGTAATCATTCAATTCCTATAAGATTAACAATGTTTAGGTATCCATGTGTGTTGATTCCTCCCAATTATGAGGTACACTGGTTAGGCTCCACCTACAAGGTCATCATTATTTTTCTAGTTCATTTGAGTAAAAATGGGTGAATCAGTAATAGAAAGAGAAAGAGTGCATTTGTGGATCAGACATTTGCAATATCAAAATGCAGCTTCTAAAGGTAACAAGCAAAAGCCAACTTTCTGGTAGACATCGTTCATATGACTGTAATGCCACCCAATAATTTCTACATCTACAGTAATGTGCCACCCCTGTGAAGGTAATGAAGTCTGATGAACCCAAAGTTGAGTGGGGAGATTTTGAGTCATATTGAACACTGTGCCAACTTATTTTCTCCAAATGTAGAAGTCAGTAATTGTCAGATTTATATCTCATGTCTGCAGTTAGAAGCCAGAGAAAGTGACACATTTCATAAAAACTCACTACTAAAACACAGCTCAGCTTTAGACACAAAGCAGGGAAAGTTAGACGGAATGCAAGCAAATTAAATACGCCTATTTTAAGAGGGGCAGACGGCCAATGAACCACCTTGGATTTGCTAAGCAATATATGTTTCCAGTTTACATCATATTTGGTCTCTACTGAATCATTCTGTGCAATAATATGTTGCTTGTTCAAATGCGAAACCTTTTCATCTGGAAACACACCTATAGTTGCCATTAAGGGTATGTCTGCTGAGCATTGTAATATGCTCGCTATCCCCTTCAGCACACCCCTTATACCCTTTAGTTGATTATGTTAATTCTGTAAATGTCCCTTTCAAAGACTTGGCTGCATTTTCAAACAGGCAGTTCTTGCTTATCATCAAAACTATGAAGGGATGCTACAGTTGGCCATACACCAAGAGAAATATGGCCCTGTCAGCCACTTCCCACCTGACACTCATTAGTCGAGCCAAACAGCATTTGCATCCAATTCAGTGCAGCACTGTTCAGGTATTTTGACAGCTGGCAGGGCTGTAGGGGGAGATTTGTCCATCCATGCTGTTTAATGTGGATGGAGGAATCTATATTTTTTCTATTTTCAGCCGCATTTCCTGTATGACCAGGGTCATTTATGACAGCCAGTGACTCTTAATATATCAGGATAGACTTAATTTGGATAGACCCAAAGACCAGGTAAACTTTGCTGATTATTTCCTATGTTTAATCCCATTTATTTTACTGTTGCTCAAAGTCTGTTCTGTAATATCTTCTTCTGTAATTATTTTCTTGTACCATATTTCTTTTCTTTTTATGAAAATTACATTTCAGAATTGTTAAGCTGAATCTCTGAATGATCTTATCAGAAATTGGAAATTTGTACCTCTGTGAGGCCATTTTGAAAAGTCTTAAAGGTCAGAATTGTAACAGCAGATCCTGGAAATAGTGCCTACTGTTTGTATGTGTTAAGGTGTAATTGTGGAACTAACCTGCCACAGTGATGATCACTCTCAGTCTGCTTGTGCTTAAACTGTTGTATCGCAAACTGGAAAATCTCTGTGCAAGGGGTGCTGAAAATGAATGTGTCACAGCTGGAATGGGCTGTCTCATCTGTCCCTCTTGGGTACCTGGGACCTCCATAGTGGGTGTTAGGATAAAGAATGGTATGAGATCTGCAAATATTCACTCACTGTTCTTCCCTGTGAAAGATGAACAGAAAAGCACTCAGCTGTGAGCACTGCTACCATTTTATTTTGCAGGGTTTCTGCTTTTTGAAAATAATCTTTAGGGCCCAGTATATGCAAATTAACGTAAGGATGCCATCCTTCCCAGTTTCCAGGGGAAAATTCCACTTGTAAGGGGCGACCCCCCCCCCCCCCCCCCCGTATACCCATACAGTCCCCAAGAGCCTGGCAGTGTAGCATGAACTTTGCAGAGCACAGGCACCAAATTAACATCCACACAGCACAAGTGTCAGTCCAAGATGGTACCGTTGTAGCACATCATTTGGATTGTCACTTGCACAGTGAGGCTGCTGATTTGGCACCTGTGCTCTGCAAGGTTTATGCTATGCCGCCTGTTGCACGAGGACAATGCCGGTGGACAAAATATTTTATTATTTTAACAGGGAGGGGATGATGTATCTCAAGGACAAAGCTGCATTTAATACAATGCAACCTGTGAATTACTTTGATGATGCATAATATAAAAATTTGGGACTCCAAATTCTTAATGTCTCCTTTTTTTATCTTTATTGGCAATCCTCAACAGTCTGCTATTTTCCCCTGTTACGGACCAGTTGAGGTCCTCTGTCTGATGAACTACCCACAGTTTCATCCATGTCCATCACTTTTTGACCTCACATACCTTTCCCACCTGGGCTTTTCAGCAGGAACACCATAAAGTGCCCAACACAGAATCTTTTCGCTATCTACCACTCCAGTACTGCATCTCGTCACTACAAAAGCACTTAAAATGTATCTCTTGTCAAAACTGTGTCCCTTTTAGGAGTTTTACTTGGCTTCCTCCTGTCCTGGAGACACGACACAATTTCTCCAAAATTCTGATGGACTTTTGTTGTCACTGAAACAGATGGTCCTACTGAAAGAGTTCCCTCACCATAACCCCTTCCTTTAGATTGTAAGCTCCACGATCAGGGCCCTCACATTCCTTCTGTACTGAAATGTATTGTAATTGTACTGTCTCCCTTATATTGTAAAGCGCTGCACAAACTGTTGGCGCTATATAAATCCTGTATAATAATAATAATAACCAATAGGCAGGGTTGATCTCCCCAGCAAGGACATCGATAGCAAATAAAATTAAACCCAGTTAAAAATAATTAAAAACTATGATCCTTCTCTGCACTCCCAAAAATACTGTAAAAACACGTCACCCTAATAAGGGTTCGCCAAATTCCCTAACACAAAAGTAAAAATGACTGGGTATTCAAGAAGTGCTAAAGTGCATATACACTATATTGCCAAAAGTATTGGAACACCTCTCCAAATCATTGGATTCAGGTGTTCCAGTCTCCTCCATGGTCACAGGTGTATAAACTCAAGCACCTAGGCATGCAGACTGCTTCTACAAACATTTGTAAAAGAATGTGTGTCGCTCTCAGGAGCTCAGTGAATTCAAGCGTGGTACCATGATGCTAGGTTGCTGCTTGTGCAATAGGTTCATCCGTGAAATTTCCTTGCAAATAAATATTCCACGGTCAGCTGTTAGTGGTATTATAACAAAGTGGAAGCAACTGGCAACAACTGCAACTCAGACATGAAGTGGTAGGCCATGTAAAATGACAGAGTGGGGACAGCGCATGCTGAAGCGCACAGTGCACAGAAGTCGCCAACTGTCTGCAGAGTCAATAGCTAAAGACTTCCAAACTTCATGAGGCCTTCAGATTAGCACAACAACAGTGCGTAGAGAGCTTCATGGAATGGGTATCCCTGGCCGAGCAGCTGAGTCCAAGCCTTACATCACCAAGTGCAATGCAAAGCATCGGATGCAGTGGTGTAAAGCACTGGACTCCAGAGCAGTGGAGACATGTTCTCTGGAGTGACCAATCACGCTTCTCTGTCTGGCAGTTTGATGGACGTGTCTGGGTTTGGCGGTTGCCAGGAGAACAGTACTTGCCTGACTGCATTGTGCCAAGTGTAAAGTTTGGTGGAGGGGGGATTATGGTGTAGGGTTATTTTCCAGGGGTTGGGCTTGGGCTTGGCCCTTTAGTTCCAGTGAAGGGAAGTCTTAAGGAGTCAGCATACCAAGACATTTTGGACAATTTTATGCTCCAAACTTTGTGGGAACAGTTTGGGGATGGCCCCTTCCTGTTCCAACATGACTGCACACCAGTACACAAACGTAAGTTCATAAAGACATGGATGAGCAAGTTTGGGGTGGAAGAACTTGACTGTCCTGTACAAAGTCCTGACCTCAACCCTATAGAACATCTTTGGGATGAATTAGAGCGGAGACAGCGAGCCAGGTCTCCTCATCCGACATCAGTGCCTGACCTCACAAATGGACTTCTGGAAGAATGGTCAAAAATTCCCATAGACACACTAAACCTTGTGGACAGCCTTCCCAGAAGAGTTGAAGCTGTTATAGCTGCAAAGGGTGGGCTACCTCAATATTAAACCCTAGTTGTCAGTCTTGATATGTGCATATGATATGTACTCTATTAAACCCTGCAGTACCAAAAGATTACCAGTATTGGGTTAAGGGGGAAAGAGGACTGAAGATTTCAACTAAATCCGCAGCCATCAGCTCAAGGTACACTTTTGTATTGATTGTGTGTACTGTCTCTTGTGCTAATTTTATTTTCTTTATTTGACTATGTTTTAAAGAATTACAGATCTCTTAGATTGTAAGCTCCAAGGAGCAGGGCCCTCCTAACCCTCTTGTATTGAACTGTATTGTTGCTGTATTGTCTCCTTTTATATTGTAAAGCGCTGAGCAAACTGCTGGCGCTATATAAATCCTTTATAATAATAATGATAATAATAATTATTATAGTATTGATATATGACATATTAGATCATCCCCTAGCCTAAATGAGCATGTAGCAACTGCAAAGTGGGTGAACCCAATGTAGGGGTATTTGTTTTTCTGTTCCAGAGTTCAGCTTTAAAAAAATGTACTCTATTGCTACAAAATTAAAGTTGACATCATCATCATCAATATATTATAGCCTCTTACCTCACCTGATCTGAATTCACTATATTTCCTTATTTATACTGTAAGTGACGCACTATATCAGTATATATAATTCTATTTATCATTTTGTAATAAAAGAGAAAAATGACTTTACTGAAATGCTCAGACATTGTGTCACTAGAGAGTCATGACTCATGTGGCAGTGAGTCCTACTGGGTCCCCTGGTGTTGAGTCAGTGTCAGGTAATAAAAACTTCAGAGATTGTAACCTGATGGTGACTCAGCCCCTGCATGCCTGTTGCACTAATGTACACAAAGTAAATCTGTTTTGCAATGGCTGCAGGCACTTTGTTTTAGTGTTGGTCTTGTTTGTCTCCTCTCATAGTTTTCATTTCTCATGGCGTAACGCTGGGTCTTCTCAAAGTAAGACTATTGTTATAAACATGTAATTAATGTGGGACTGGGATACACAGAGCTCACTAGCAAATCTAGTTTCTATAGAGAATGTATTTCAAAACTTGCCCTTTGTCTTGTAAAGCATTAAATAACTTGGTCCTCGGTAAGCCAAGGATACCCTGCAGCTTTGCATTCTCTCTTACCCCATACGGTTAGACAGGCGCATAGATACCGTTCATGCCAAGAGTCTATCCTAAGGCTGCAGGCTGGGTGCGGGTGCTGGAATCAATACAATTCACACACCGCAACCACCCGCAGCTGCACTATATTTCTTTTGCATGACTCAAGGGGGGTGCCATTCAGCATCTCATCCCGTACCACGCCCGTGGGAACCGCGCAGAAACCGCATGGTCAAAAAGACCACGTGGTTTCTGTGCAGATGCGTTTTTTAACATCCCTAGCCTTCTGATTATGTCCATATTTCTGTGCTGAAAGCGGTACATTTTTTTCATGGAAATATGTATTTTTTTTTATTGTAGGCCTGTAATTTTTAGGAATAACTCACTGAAATCTGTCCGAACAAGAGTCTAGTAAACATCCCGGGTAGGATAAAACTTGAAATACAAAATCATAAATTAGAATTTAATAAATAATCATACAAAATAATAATATAATAATAATAAACTTAATTCAATAATATAATCAAACCAAAAACACTGAAATTTGAAATATAGCACCAAGTTCGCACATCACTGAGCAAAGTCGCAGAATCGTTTTCAGTGTCTGATGACGAATTTCCCCACGAATCATTATCACTCAATTCTGCAAGTGGTTCTAATTTACTATCGCTGTTCTCTAGCTGGTCTAAAACCGCTTTTGACCTAAAGGGATGCTTTTTGGACACCATGGACATTTCTCAGTTTCCAGGCAGAAAGAACAGTAAAAATGCAGGCAGGGCGCCGGACAAAGCACTAGGGACAAAATGTATGTGAAATGGTTTGATACAGTAATGTTTTACTATGTAATTTTAGTGAATGTCTCTTTTTGTCATTTTCAAATTTCCGGCCGTTCCGTCCCCCGTACGTCCCGACGCTCACAGGGGACGGAACCCAGATGACAGATGCCGGCACCCGCTGGATTACATTGCCGGGGACACTGCAGGAGGGACATTGCTGGAGCGCAGGACAAGGTAAGTGATCAAGGGATCGCGGAGCAGCGCCACATGGTAAGCCCGAGTGTAGCTCAGGGTTACCGCTTGTGGTACTGAAACGTTACCCCGAGCTACACTCGGTAATACCGCCAGGGAGGTTAAAAAGTGCATGCACCTTTTCCTTGCATGAAATGCGGGCACAGCAGAACATTCATATGAATGGGCTGCTGTCCCCTCGCAAATGTGGGCCACAACGGCTCGCACTAATGTGAACTGGGGGTAAAACACTGGGTGAAAAAAACCTTCTGACTTGTGTCTCTTGCATCACTAGCCAACTCTTCCCAGGATGATCATTAGATGTATTAAGACCAGTGCAAACCTGGTCATACACTGCTCGGAGAACTAAAAATCAAATCAGATTCCTCCATCCACGTTAGACAGTGTATGGGCAAATCTCCTGCTGCGGTTATTGTATTCTGACAGCCATTGCCCCTACTGCTGACTGTCAGAATACCACATCGGTTGCATCTGATTGGATGCAGCCACTGTTCAACTGAAATGTTTCTATTTGGCTACTTTGATTTTTTAAGCAAAGGTTTTCATGGTGGAAGGGCTTCTTGTGGAGAGAATTTTGGCTGCTTCATCAGGAACAAATTCCAGCCATGCCAGCAGGAATCAGCCAAAATCTGAGCTTTGTATGCGCTGGTGTAGAGTTATTCACCCTTAGGTAATCACAGAGGACAAGGGGGCACTCTTTATGTCTGGAGGAAAAGAGATTTAATCTCCAAACACGGAAAGGTTTCTTCACAGTAAGAGCTGTGAAAATGTGGAATAGACTCCCTCAAGAGTTGGTTCTGGCCAGCTCAGTGGATTTCTTTAAAAAAGGCCTGAATTCTTTCTTGGATACACAGAATATAACTGGTTACTAACATTTATAGGTAATGTTAATCCAGGGAATATCTGATTGCTTCTTGGGGGATCAGGAACTGATCAACTGTGGGTATAGGATTATAACTTTTTTTTTTTTTTTTTTTAAATGGTTGAATTAGATGGATTTTTGTCTTTTTTCAACCAGACTAACTATGTAACTATGTATAGCCAGCTTCATATTACATCACCTGCCAAAGGGTCTATAAGCCAGACATAGTCTGATGTCACTTATCACCAAACCCTGGTGCAGTGGGTTGAGCACAGAGATGGTCAAGGACCTCAGTACATATTACTAAGAACTGTTATATGCCCTAAAGTGACACTAACCTCTGGTTTTAAAAATAATTCTATTCAAGAATGTACTCAAACTCAAGAAGTACCTTCTATTGCCTTCAGTTACCTCCAAATTTTGTTTTTTATTCTTGCTGTTGTGATCTGATTTCCTGTTAGAGAGGTGGCTTTGTTCGTTCTCCATGGTCTCACTGTATGTTGGAACGTAACCACCATCTCTTGCTCACTCTTAAAATGGACTATGGTCTATGGGATGTGTGCTGTACATAGAGCAGTGTACAAGACCACAACAAACATGAACTGCTCATTGCAAGCAAACACAAGTGAGGGGGAAAATGATTGGTTTGGGAGCTCACAGAAGATGTTACATAGAGGCAGTAAAACACAGTAAGAAACAATTTCATGAAACATAGATTATAGGACCATTAAAGTGATGCTAAACTGACATTTTTTTTATAAAATAAAATAAATTCTATATGTCTTAATATAAGTAGAATTTACCTTTAATCTCTATCTTCCTTCGTTTCATCTTTCCAATGCAGGTTTTATTGTGGCTGTTCTCATGTTTCTACCTTTTCTAGGATGGCTACATTCATTCTCCATGCCCCTCTTGTGTATATTAACGTAGCTTTCCTTTCCTGCTTGCCCCCAAGAAGGACTACACATTTACCTGCAGACGCATTAAGTTCTATGGGAACTAGAGTATGCATAGAGCAGATCATGTGACCAGAAATAACAGCACTTCTTTCTCTACACTAACAGATGTCAGGTGCATCAATGGAGGATAAGGAGCATATTCAGGGGCACCCAACAGCATAATCTGTGACCACTGTGGATCACAGGTTGGGATCCAGGGTTGCTGTGATTGGCCCCTGTACCATGTGATCACTGAGATCACAGCAATCACATTACCAGTAGTAACGGTTGTCATTCATGATGCCATTGTTTACTGCTGTGATCTCTGTGATTGGTCACAGATATTACATGGTACAGAGCCAATCACGGTGGCCCTATACCATGTGATAACTCTGGCCAATCACAGTAGAACTCAATGGCTGCAGGAATGCAGCAGAATAGTGTCCACAATCAGGGGCGTATTTACTGTGAGGCAAAGAAGGCGTTTGCCTAGGGCGGCATTTTTAAGGGGGGCGGCAGTGTTGCCCCCTCCATTGACAACCACCCAGCTTTCAATTGTCTTCCACTCTTCTCCCCCTAGGTGATCGGTGATTTTTTTCCCC